ACTAATTAAGAAGACACCCTGCAGGCTTGCCTACAGCTCCACCCTATAGAGGCATTTTCTCCACTCAGGTTCCCTAATCTCAGATGACTCTCCAGTTTATGAGGAGTTAAAGTAAGGTTGTGTACCTGCACTGATAACTCCCCAGAACACATGATTGGTGTGTTCATGAATGTTCCCACTTCTGCTTCCAGGCCACTCGTTGCTCCCCAGCCTCCCTGAGCCAGCAGGTGCTCACCCCAGCCTCTGACTTCTGAGTCTAGACTGGTAGAGATTCAGTTAAAAGCCACATTTTGTAGCAGCGGCAGGAGGAGGATCGATGGGATATAAAGGCCCTGCCAGGCTGCTGCCTAAGAAGTTGGCCAGTAACCGCAGAGCGGCAACTACAACCACTGGCTAGAAGAGCAGTAGATTCAGAAAAAAAATTCTCTTTATAAAATTTCCAGGAATTCTCATTTCCCCATGGTATAAGTTGGTTTTCATATTTTAGTTTAGACCAATATTTAGGGTGTTTTTATGTGTCACTGAAATTGAGGAGTAAAATATAGGTTCAAAAAAATTTACTAAAATGACAAAATTCTACTGTCATTTATTTTTAAAAAAAATCCTTTCCACAAAGCAAGTGAACTTTGCCTATGGCAGGAAACCTCAGGGTGGTGGTGGCTCATGCCTTTAATTCCAGCACTTGGGAGACAGAGGCAAGCAAATTGAGGATTCCAGGACAGCCTGGCCTGCAGAGCAATTTCCAGTACAGGACAGCCAGGGCTACACAAAAGAAACCCTGTCTCTAAAAGTAAAAAAAGAAAAACAAAGAAAGGAAGGAAGGAAGGGGGAGGGAGGGAGAGAAGAAGAAGGAGGAGGAGGAGGAGGAAAGAAAGAAAGAAAGAAAGGAAGGAAGGAAGAAAGAAAGAAACAAAACCTGGAAATTTCAAATATACTGGAGAACTGACATACGTCTTTACATTCTAGGTAACCAAGTCATTTTAATAAATAAAGATTTGGGGCAGGTAAATAACTTACCTTAACTATGAAAGTTTGAATAGGAATCTATTTAGTAAGTTGGTGTTATTCTTTCTCTTAAGTAATAATAAGGCTTATTTAACAATGAGAAATATATACAAATATATTTAACACATGAGAAATATATGCAAAATGGAAATGATGGGAGCATAGTTATGGATAGAAACATATTGAAATATTGCCTTTTAGAATGTCTTTGTGAAGAGTGGACATTTAAACATTGGACATCTTTGTAATGGACATTGATTCTGTATTGTGGATGTTTGGAGATGGAAAGCTATCTCAGAAACGACCTCAGTCCAGCCTGCTGAACTTTCATGCTTCAGAGGCATAGGGAGCAGCAACTGAATTTAACTAAACAAGTGGAAATGATCTTACTGAAAGGAATTTGATAATTAATTAGGAAATTAGGAGAGGGCCTGGTCCAATAGGGAAGGCCAAGTCAGGGGACCCTTAAACAGACAGTGGTTAGCAAGAAGAGACAACAGTCTTTCTGAGAAGCACTGCAACATTGGCTGACCCCAATCCCATTTACATCCTAAGTTTCTCGGAGAATATCATTTGCTAAAAAGGCCCTGAATTCTTGACTCACAAAAATTTTACCTCAGTGGGACTAGTTATTTCCCATGTATTTTAAAATGCTGTGAAGGGGGTGCTACACCGGTGTGTAGCCGGGCAGGCTACATCCAGCAAATGAACCTCCATCTCTCATGACCTGCGAAAGTGGCCAGCCCCAAATCATGGACTGGCATTTGTAAGTTGCCTCACCCTAGATGAGCTGTCTGCCCAAATGGCCCACCTAGTGTTTAAGCCAGCATTTCCCTTTTCTGTATATTTGATCCAGGTCTTCCCTCATGTGATGAGATCTCACACAGAGATGGCACCTCTTTATTTCAAGAAAGGCTGGAGCTCCGGCCTCCAAGGCCTCCCCAGTACTGCCTTCTGGATTGCAATCACATGTGCCCTCAGCTTCCCCAAGCTCTCGTCAATCATTTTTAAGGTCTCCTTAGCCATTGATTTCCCCTCTTCAGAAAATGTCCCATCACCACTTGAAATACCTAGAGGTCATCTTACCTCCTCCTTCACTGTAACACCCAGTCACCAAGCCACCCAAATTTTACCAAAGTGTGTTTTGGAAACAACAGCTTCTACTGGCCAACTACCACCTCTGCCTGGTTCCAGCACCACAGCCTTTCTCACTCATAACTAGCAGTCCTCTACCTCTCCCCCTGATTCCAGGGTTACCCTCCTCCATCCCTTCTCTTGGATCAGGTGTGAAGTTCAGAGCCACAAACTCAAGACGGCTAAATTGAAAGTCTTTATTTTTTTATAACCTCATTTTAATTCCTGGCCCTGAGCCTTAATCCTCTTTCATGTCAAAGTCTAATCTTGTCACTCAGATGAAGCCAGACCAGTGCAGTGATCTTTCAGATTGCTCAAAATTCAAAAGCTACTTCCCCTCATTCCATGCCCCTATACTGGGAAGAACATTACATTGCACAGTGAGGGTCAAAGGGGATGGGATTACTGGGTCCAGAAAACAAAGTATATGAAAGTTCAATTTTATTTTCAGAAAGTCAGAAACTTCTCTTTTAGTCTATCTTATGTAATATCTAGGACATTCTAATACACTAAAAATCATTTGTTGTTTGTCTGGCCATTCAATTTTAACTGGACCCAGGCAATCGAGGGACAGGGTGTGACAGCATATACTTCCAAGCCTTGATCAAGGGCTTTGTGCCTATCACTGCATTTAGCTACCCAGTCCACACTTTCTTTCTCCAGCAAGACATGCAATCCAAGGCAGCTTTTGTTTCCAGGCTCCCTGTGTAATTACAGGGTGGCATTTGACAAAGTTCTGACCAATGAGACACAAACAGGGATTTGCTGTTTTCAGGAATGCTTTTCTTTTCCCCACACATAAGGAAAGACACAGCCATGCCACCACACATTCTCCTTTCTGCAGCAAGCAGATATCTGGGGTATATACAACAAGAGAATCCCAGAGAAATCAGCCTTGATGCCACCAGGCCACTCGCCCAGACCTGGTCCATCTCAGGACTTCCGATTCTCTGAAACCAGACAGATCCCACTGTCACTGAAATCTGTATGCCAGCAGGTCTAAATAGGTCTAAAAATGCCTCCTTTTAGGGAGAGAACATAAGGTAATTGACACAAAGCTATCTTTCATCACCTGATTATTCTTTTGCTTTAACAGTGACCACCACATAGCTGTTCTATATAAGCAATCTCTCTTTCTCTCTTTTCTCTCTCTCTCTCTCTCTCTCTCTCTCTCTCTCTCTCTCTCTCTCTCTGTCTGTCTCACACACACACACATACACACACACACACCATACACACACACACACACACTTTCTTTTTTGTTGAGAGAGGGTTTCTCTACATAGCTCTGGCTGACCTGGAACTCACTCTGTAGACAAGGCTGGCCTCTAACTCACTGAGATCCACCTGCCTCTTCCTCTTAAGTGCTGGAATTAAAGGTGTGTGCCACCATTGCCTGGCAGCACATGCATTTCTTAAATAAACATTTTCAGTCACTGTTTACTTTTATGTATGAACTTAGTTGTTGTCTGTGTCCTCTCCCAAGGGCAGCAAATCTGTTTGGTCTAGAACAATCTGTTGGGGGAGGAGCAGGAACTGTGGCAATGGCTCAGCTCTTGAGCTCTGTCATTAGATCATTTGTCATGCAATCATGAAGACTGCAGCTCAGATCCCTGGAGTGTGTGCATGCCAAGTGAAAGCATCAGCCTACCTTTAACTGTGGCTCATCTCTGGAGCAAGCTGCCCATGTCTGTGGCTCTGGGATTGACTTAGACACAATGCCTCAAAAAAGAAGGCTCAAAAATAATAATGGGTGACTGCTGACATCAGCCTCAGGCACACACATGCATTTGTGCCTACACGCACATCCCCACACATGCAAAAAGCATGCACACATACACATATGCACACCACACACACAAGAAAATAGAAAAGAAAAAAATGGTTCATCATAAGAAACCCAGTCAGGCTGGGCAGTGGGGGTGCACACCTTTAATCCCAGCACTCAGCAGGCAGAGTCAGGTAGATCTCTGTCAGTTCAAGACCAGTCTGGTCTACAAAAGCTAGTTCCAGGACAGCCAGAAACACTGTCTCCAAAAACAAAACAAAACAAAACAAAACAAAACAACAACAACAACAAAAAAAACCCAAAACAGAAACCCAGTCAGGATCTGCTGAAATAAATGAGTGAGTCGCCTGGCTCTTTACCCCTCCCTGCACATAAACCATGAAGTTCCATGGGGAAGTTTTCATTGGGTTTTACCTTTTGAGACAGGCTCGTACTGTGTAGCTCAGGCTGAACTCAAATTAATAGTCCTCCTCCTTCAGCTTTCCAAGTACAGAACTAGGAAGTGAATTTCTATTTATTTATCTATTTACTGTTAAATGAACTAACAAACCAATAATTTGATCTTACCTATAAATGACTATGTATAATATATATTTCAGTAATTTTTAAAATGTTAAATTTAGAAGCATGATTGATTGAAGTTGGTCAAATTTCAATAATAGATCATGAAACTACCTAATAGAGAAATAAAGTTTTTTTAATATTTAGTAACAAGTTTTATTTTTTGCCTGGTTTATTAGTTACCTGTTGGCCTTCTGGCTTGGCTGGTTGGTTGGTTTGCTCTTCTGATTGGTTGGTAGGTTTGAGCTGGGGTGGTGAAAACTTTTGAATAGTCAAGTAGCTTATTTGTCATTTTCAAAGAGACCTCAGCTCTGGAACTAACATATTAATAATGTGATTACCTTAACATAACTACGTTAGGTAAGTGCCAGGCATCCTTCATTAAACTGAAGTTGCTTGATTTGCCACAAAGATCTTTTGACATGTAAGAAAGCCTGCTTTGAGTGCTAGTTTTCAGAGGATGGAAACCCCCCTGAGGTCTAAAGCGCCCGTACTCTGCTCTTGTCTCCAGCCACAGGAACTCGTACAAGAAGAGCATCTGTGTGGACATGCTGCGTGATGGCTACCACAAGTCCTTCACCGAGCTCTTCTCTCTGATGGAGCAGTGGGACGCTCTGCGTCATGCTGCAGAGGTGCGGTCCCTCTTCTGGCTGCAGAGGCCTCTGGAGGAACAGCCAGACAAGCTGGACTATTTCTACCACTATCTGACTAGGGCCGAGGCTGCCGAGAGGCAAGGTAGGTGCCAGGTTCAGGGAGGCACACCCCGGGGAGGACGCCAAACTCAATATGTGGACTTGATACATTAAGACAAGTTGCACAATTCAAACTGATCTACTGGGCGATTTTAAGGAGTAAATGACTGGGCACCAGGCTCGCTAGATACAAAGACATCCTGGCAATGTCACTGCAAACTTGGGAAGAAAGAGACTACCAAACATCACCAGAGGTCATCAAGAACACATCATATTCTCATCTTTCTCCGAGTGGTATGAATTTTGGCTCTCAGCAAGGAGTTTTCAAAGCGCTGCCACTTGAAACCCACACTGATTAAGTTTGTTTTACCTTAGCATTTACATAACAAGTTTTAAAACTTTTGTCATGAGATCTTGTTGGTTTAGATCACAAAATGATATTACTTAAAAGGCAAGAAAAACCTTTAGTTTCTAGGGTGCTGCTAGGCTGTACTCCCAGCACTTGGGGGATGGAGGCAGGAGGTTCACTGTTAGTTTGAGTTTAGCCTCGGCTACATTGTCAGACAGTTTCCCAGAAAAAAAGGGAAAATAATTCATAATCCATGTTGTGATTCAATCATTAATTTCCTATTTTCCACAAAATAATTTAGTGTATTCCTTTGCCATATTTTTCCTAAAGCTAGTAGTTTATATTTAAGGTGTTAAGTATTTAATACTTCAAAGGACTTATGAAATAAGTACTTAATCTCTGCTATAATTTTATGGACTTTATTATTTAGCATTTTTAGCTCTGTCACAAATTTAACTTTACCATTTGACATTTTTAGGTCTGTATTAGGAATCTGTTGTTTTCACTGGAGAAGTAAAAAGAAAATTCTAGAATTTGGCAATACAAATTATTATTATTTTTTTCTCAACATTCTCACTGCAGACACAAAAGGACTCATAATGACAAGAAAAGTCAGTGCTGTCTTTCACTTGGCCTTTACACGGTCAGTAGGCAACTCTGTCTACCCCCTGCTAGCTACTGCAGACCATGAAGATAGAAAGAGCATGGGGGGTGAGGGGGGCAGCCCGAGTTCTAGCCATCATGGTCACATAGCATCAGACTATAAACAAGAGAAAATGTGACACTAAAAATTGAATAGCAAGGGGATACAATAAGAAAAGCTTATCTATATTATGGAAAGTGTTCAAAACTGCAGACTTGGCATGAGATAGTCTTTTGATGAACTTTAATACAATTGAAATATAAGAAATTAACTATTATAAATAAACATGCAATTGTTACTACAAAACAAACAGAACCAAATCCCCAAATTCTACTATCAGAACAAAATCCTGAATTGATTTTACATCCGAATTACAGTTAGCCAAGATAAAGTCTGCCCATTATTTACTTTATCAAGTTCAATTTTATCAAAAGCTTAAATCAGGGGCTTTCATTTGAGTAGCATAAATGTGAGGCAAATATCTGACCTGCCATAATGTGTCGTTCACATGACAAGTATCCGTCATAGAGCATCTGTGGGATGATGGACCATAAGATGTTCAGGCTAAAGGAAAGTAACTACATGGAAAGAAAAGTACTTCTCTAACACACACACACACACAAAACAAACAAACAAACAAACAAAAAAAAAAACAAAGGACAATATCCCAGCAACAACTAAAGTCCCATTCATGTATGTGTGAGAAATAGAGTTGCGGCTATTAAATACGACAAAGTTACCTTCACTCAAAACACCCAAAGGGTTGTCTCCAATAGGATGCTCTGGCTTTTGCCTTGCTGAAATACAGAACTTATTTTTATTTTTGTAGAAAGTTCTCCCTCATCTGTGGCAGGAAGTGTCGTGTGTGTCAGTCTAGCCTCTGCAGATGGGCACAGCAGTAACCTTAGTCATTTAAATCACCAGACACCACTTGCTGCTTTATAGAAAAATTGTTTTTAAAGCAATGTATTTATTCCTTTTGGGCTACCTTCCCTTGGTTAAAGAGCCCATGTCTCACTCAGATCTCACATTCCCCCTTTCTTTGTCACCTGTGGTATTCTTCTTAGCGTCCCAAGCCCCAGGAAGCTGAGGAATAAATGGAGATGGTGATGACTGCAAACTGAAGATAGAAATTATTCGAAAGTGTCTTTCACTTGACTCATAAACTTTGGTGAAGGGTCGAGTAGTTTCTTTGCTTCTTGGCAATATTTGTTTAATACACATACAATCTGTTGAACCCAAGTGGACTTTCACATGATGTATTTTTTATGCAAAGTAGAAAAGGGAGGAAAAATTGATAAATGCAATGTGGAGACTCCAGGTTAATTAATGCTGAGCTGAAGCATTACTTTGCAGCACTTATCAGAGCGTCATATGTGCTTTTGTGTGTTTTGTTTCTTCACTAGCACGGAAAATCAGCAAGAGTATTTGTCAAATTTACTGCACCGGAAAATTGCTCTTTAAGGTAGAGACCACAGCATCTGAAAAAATAGCAAACCCTTGATAGACATCCATCTTCTGTTGGTGCCTGCTGGCGGCTCACTTGAGGAGAACAGGCTACTTAGAATGTGAAGAATACAGATGTGGTTACAGAAAAACAGTTCAACTGATAGGCAGTCTTTAAATATGAAATCCTGGGAGCTTATGTAATTAAGCTTTTTATACTTTAAAAATATTCTGTATATATAATGAAGAGAGCATTTTAAATTCCAGCTTTATTTACTAAAAAGAAGAAAATGTTTACATACACATTTGTTCAAATAGGTTGGGATATCTTACCAACTGACAGCTGTAAACAGGAACTCTAATCAGTAAATATGAAGCCTTTGATAAAATATGCTTTAATGTCTATTCACACTTAGTGAGAAATGCACATGTAGGAGGATTCTGTGAAGAAGGTATAGGATATAGAAGTGTCTCTAAGGGACTGAGGAAATGACTTCATTGATGGTACTTCTGTGAAAGCATGAAGATCTGAGTTAGATCCCAGTGTCATAACTAGGGTTATCTGAAAGAAGGGAAACTGAATTGAGAACATACCTCCACAAGATCTGGCTGTAGGGCATTTTCTTCATTAGTGATTGATGAAGGAGAGCCCAGACCATGGTGGGTGAGGTCATCCCTGGGCTGCTGGTTCTAGGTTCTATAAGAGAGCAGACTGAGCAAGCCATGGGGAACAAGCCAGTAAGCTTCGCCCCTCCGTGGCCTCTGTATCAGCTCCGACCTCCAGGTTCCTGCCCTATTTGAGTTTGTGTTCTAACTTCCTTTGATGATGAACAGTGTTGTGTGAGCCAAATAACCCTTTGCTCAAGTTACTTTGGTCGTGGTGTTTCTTAACATCAATAGAAACCCAACTAAGACAGGGTGTGGCTGCATGTGTCTGTCACCCCAGCACTATGTGAGAGCAGAGACAAGAGGATCACTATAGATGGCTAGCCAGCCTAGTCAAAACAAAACAGAAAAGTCTAGCCAGGTTCAGTGAGAGACCCACTTCAAGGAAATTAGGCAATGAGCATCTGAGGAAGACAGCTCCTGTGGCCTCCACAGACACACAGATGAATGCACACATGTGTAAAAGACAGCATGACCACAGCAGCTCTTATAAAGAAATCACTTATTTGGAATGCCTTGCTTACAGCTTCAGAGGTTTGGTTCAGGGAACATGATGCCATGCAAGAAGACATAGTTCTGGCTATATCTTGCAGACAACAGGAAGTCAACTAACACACTGGATGATATCCTAAGCATAAGAAACCTCAAAGCCCGCCCCCACAGTGACACACTTCCTCTAATAAGACCATATCCACTCCACACCTCTTAATAATGTCACTCTCTATGAGATTATGGGGGCCAAATACATTTAAACTACCTCATTCCAATCCCTAGCCCCTGTAAGCTTGTAATAATATTATAATGCAAAATGTGTTAAATCCAAATTCAAAAGTCCCCATACTCTATCAAAGTCTCAACAATGTTTAAAAGTCCAAATTTCAAAGTCTTTTCTGAGATTCATACAATCTCTTAATTGTAATGCCCTATAAAATCAAAATTAAAAAAAGATGACATAATTCCAACATATAATGGCACAGAATATACATTACCATTCCAAAAAGTAGAGAAGGGAGTATAATGAGGAAATACTGGACCAAAGCAAAATCAAAAGCCAGATGGATGAACTCCAAACTAAATCTCATGTGTGGTGTCATCAGCTCCGTTGACTGCAGCACACTTCTCTCTTGGGCTGATTCACTCCCTCTTAGCAGCTCTCCTCGGGAGGTGTCCCATGGCTCTGACTTCTCCAACATCTTGGGATCTGAAAGACAATCCAGGCTTCACCTTCACAGCTTCACACAATGCCTCTCTACTTGGCTTCCATTCAGGGACACCCCTGACAGATGCCTGGCCTCCGAGATTTTATTCTGTAACTCCTTTCTTCTGTCCTTAACTCTAAACCAGAACCATGGGGCTAAAGCTGCCAAGGGCTGCCGCTTGCTAGGGCTGGAACATGACTCCCTCCTTCTATTACATCTTCACCAGCTTTCTGTCTTTCATTGCCTAAGTTTGGCTCTTCCAAAACTTTCTGTGTAGAACAAGCTGGCCTCAAACTCAGAGGTGTGACCTACCACACCTGGATCTAAGCTTTTCTTTAACTCCTTTTCACAAATTGGAAAGTTAGGAATAGGTGGGGTCTTGCCCTGGGGTCACCACTCCCTTTATTCCATTTCTTGATCTGTTTATCTCCTTGAACACAGCACTTAGCTCCATTCCACTCCTTCACCCCTCAGACTTTTCATTTTGTCATTTGCCCTGCTCAGATTGCTTCTTTCCATTATAATCTTCATTAGAGTTGCCACTATTATCTACATGACAGAGTCTATACTAGGCTGTTCTGAGGCTTTTTCTGCTAATGGAACTAATCCCAAACTCTTCACTTTAGCCTCAGGCAGACTTTTTGGACAAGGGCAAAGGCAGCCACGTTCTCCCCAAAATATCACATAAACGAGTTCTAGGCAACATACTAAAATTTTCTCTCCTGAAACCTCCTGAGTGATGTCCTGTAGTTCAAATCATCCTCAGCACACTGTCTTCCATGCTTCTACTAGTGTGGCCCATTCAGCAGTACTTAAAGCATTCCACTGCTTTCCTACCCCAAGTACCAAGGCCCAAATTGCTTGAAACAAAAACATGGTCAGGCCTATTACAGCAATACCCCAGTTCCTGATACCAACTTCTGTCTTAGGATTTCTATTCCTGTTACACCATGACCATGGCAACTCATAAAAGGAAAACATTTAATTAAGGGGGCTCACTTAACAGTTTCAAAGGTTTAGTCCATCATAATGGTGGGGAACATGGCAGCATGCAGGCAGAGATGGTACTAGAAAAATAGCTGAGAGTCTTATATCTTGATTGACAGCAAGAAATCAACTGGGCAGTATTTTGAGTATAAGAATCCTCCAAGCCCACCTCCAAGTGACACACTCACTCCAAAAAGGCCATACCTATCCCAACAAAGCCACATCTCCTAATAGTGCCATTCCCTATGAGTTTATGGGGGTCAATTACATTCAAACTACCACATGTGCCCACATACATATACCTGACACTCTGTTCTCTACACATATACAGACAAATATTGAAATATTGAAATGACTTATTTACAGCTCTCGACAGCTACCTTTCATATGTTCAGCCTGTTTCTTCCAGGCTTTCTTGTTTAGAATCATGCACTATATAATGGATAAGATTGTCCACAATGAGATCATTTTAGGAGGTGACCCTGCTGGTGGTGATGAGCAACTGGTCTCAGTGCATCAGTGCACAGTGACTATGGCTTAACCCTGACTTAGCCGGGACTCTTGACTGTAATGGGCAGGAGGATTATCACATGTTTGAGACTGGTGTGGGCCATTAAAGTTACAGGAATGAGGCACGGTTTGTTACCACACAAATATCTTTGCTCAAGTTCACTATTGTAGCAGCATTCATAAAACACATTACACGAGGGCACACATACACAGTCACACACTTAAAAATACAGATGTCATTTTAGGAAATAAAGGAAAGTCAAAGGTGCATGTAATGAATTACCAGACATTTGAGTAAAAGGAATCTGAAAAGAACATAAAGAAGCATAGAAGTCTTTTTTCTAGAAACATTGGTAGAAAATGGAAGAAGCATGTATATCATCTTGACCTAAGTTTCTCATACAAATTAGCCACATTATCCCCTTTTGGGTTAAGAATGCCTTGGGGCTTCCATTTCCTTTTTTTCCCCTTTGCATTTGCTTTTATTTTGCCATGGTTTAGAAACATTGATTTCACCAGGCTTAGTGATGAATGCCTTTAGACTCATCACTGGGATATGGAATAGGTTGTCCCTTCCCTTCCTTTTCCTTCCCCTCCCCTCATTTATATATATGAGACCATTGACACCACTGTCCTCTTCCAAGAGGAGCACATCTCTAACAGATATTATCCAGTTCTATTTCAACCAAATATGTCTCAATTTCTAATGTGTCTGCATTTTTGGAAAGTCGCCTATTGCTTGTTTCCTGCCCACATCCTTTGGTTAATGTGATTATTTTAATAGTTAAAATAAATGATGCTCTTCACTAAGTTTAATTTTCAAGGCAGTTGATAATGCATTTAAGAAAAACATAGAAGTAATTTGCAGCATTGTGTGTGTCCTAAGCTGTGTTTCAGATGCACAGTATGTTTTTTTTCTCTCTCTCTCTCTTTAATAAAGAATACTATGAAGAAGTGTATAACAACTTGTATGCTCTGGCCTGTTACTTCGACAATTCTGAAGACAAGTGGGTGAGGAATCACTTCTATGAACGGTGTTTTAACATTGCTCGGCTCATCAAAGCTGATGGTGGGAAGAAAGAGGCTGAGGCTCAGGCTCACATGGGCCTTCTGTTCGAGGAAGAGGGTGAGTAGGCGCTCTCTGGGGATGTTTGGGGGATCCTGAGACCAAAGATTAAGAAAAGGACCTGAATGTAAGGAGGCTAATTGTTGCAGTCAAAAATCAAAAGTTAGTGGCTAAATGATTCAGCCTCAGTGTTCTTTGAATAACATTCCCTGCAGGGTTTTTGGGTGTCCCTGAAGTAGCAGTCAGCCTGGAGCAGCCAGCAGATCTTCCTGAATTATTCCCACATCTTTGCTGCATCCTCTATCTCCTTCCTCAATCCTTTTTATGTTTGTGGTGTATTTGTTTTTTTCATGGCACCCCTTTTTGCCTGTTTTGTAATAGAACTTTCACTTACAGAACTGTTTGGAAAAATGAAAAGTTCCTTTGTGAATTTCCTAGTGCCCCTCCTCCTCAAATCAAAGTATTAAAACTGTATAAACCAGATTCTATTTTTGATTTCACAATAATTGCTGAAGGAAATGCTTTTTTTAAAAAGTCATATTTAATGTTATAATAAGATAACCCAAAGTCAAAACCAAATAACAAAATGGTCAGGAAGCTGTTAAGTTCCACATAGAAAATTAAGAAATGTGCCAAATGGTTCATGCAGTTAATATTCAAAAAGTATGTAGGGGAAGATGAAAATGTTTTTATGAACCTGCTATTTTAACTCTGAGGTTCTCTCTCTAACTCTCTCTCTCTATGTATATACATACATACATAGTACATACATATATAATGTTGTGACTAGGATGATATAGGACTTAGAAACAAAAGTAAATTAAAAATTAGTTTCTGTGCTCTGGGAAGCTACAGCTAAGTTGGGTTGTACCCTAAAGCATGACACATACTACAAAGTGATCAGGGACCATGTAATGTGAACAACACAGGGAATGCTAGGAAATGTCAGCTGTGATAAGAGATCCTGTAGACTGGACTCAACTGATGCATGGTGAAGTTGAGGGGTATTGATAGGAATTGGAGATTGCTGGGATTTAGACAGGTAGAAATAACAGTGCCGTGCTCTGAATGAGGAAACATAGCTGTAGGAGGACAGGAGGAACACCCTACTTTGAGTGGAATCACAGTGGAAAAGAGAGACAGAATCTGTAGTTGAAGTTGATCCTGTAGTTTGAAGATGACTTCAAGCAGAACCAAGATGCCAGCTATGGGAGGAAGGGGAAAAGGAGGAGGTGTAGCAAAAAGCTGCCATTGTGATGTAACTCAGAAGAAGCAGTTAAGAGGTATTTAAGAGGATGAATTACACCATTACTTTACAATTATAGTTTATAATATCTCAAAATAGAGGGTTAGTTAAGTAAGCAACTCTATGCCACAGAGTACCATGCGTTTACAACTGAGTAAAATTCATTCAGTATTCAAAGCTCCAGTGCATTTATCAAATACTGGTTTAGACCCTAGTACCTGGGGAAACACAGGGAACAAGACCAAGTCCTGGTCCTCATAGTGTCCAACTGTTTCTAAATGAATAGTTCAGTATATTGTGTAAATCTGCACTGTTGGTTGGTCCATCTCCAGCCCTTCCCTTCACCTTGCCAAATGAATGTTCTGTGCCCATTCTCCCTCCTCCTGAGGTTTAGAATCTCTGATCAAGTTTTGATGACCACATTTATACACCACTGATGTATCAATTTCATTTGGTCATTTGTTCATTCATGCCACAACTCTTGGGAGTGTCTTTTAACTGTATATGAAGCAGCTCTGTGGTTGGTCATCTCATTTGATGACAGACATAGAGGATAGGCCAAGATGAGTGTGGAAAGTGGAAAGTGTGATCCCAGTGGACTGCTGCAGGGTAGCATTTGCAGGTCTTTGCATTGCTCACACTTAGATGCCCAACCCTTATATCAGGGTAAAATGCCTGGTAAAGAAAAAAAAGTTAAAGTTTGTCTTTGAAATATTTTTAAAGACTCTGCTTTGGAAGCTATGTTAAAATTAGAGTCTGTTGGTTAACTTTAGAACTGCTGTATGAAGTCGAATATTGTTCTTTTGAGGTCTGTAAAGAATTGTGCTGGGATTTTGATGGGTATTGCTTTGAATATGTAGATTACTTTTGGTAAGATTGCCATTTTTACCATGTTAAGCCTTCCTATCCAAGAGTATTGGAGATCTTTCCATTTTCTGATGTTATCTTTCAATTTCGTTCTTCAAAGACTTAAAGTTATACAGGTTTTCACTTATCTGGTTAGACCAGAACTTGGAAACAATCTAGATGCCTCTCAACCAAAGAATGGCTTTTTAAAATGTGGTACATGTACATAGTGGAGTACTCAGCAGTAAAAATCTTGAAATTTGCAGATGAAATATAAAACAATCATGAGAGAAGTAGCCCAGAAAGACAAACATAGTACATATTAACTTATAAATGAATATTAGACATAAAACAAAAGACAACCAGCCTACAATTCACAACTCCAGAGAAGCTAAAGATGATAAGAGAAACATACATAAGAGAAACATCTAGGAAATAGACAAGTTCTCCTGAGTAAATTGGAGTGTGGGAGGGAGGTAAGGGTGGAAAGGGACAGAGGAGAAGAGAAGGGGAGTAGAGAGAAGAGCATGAGGGAACAGGATGCTCCAGTTAGGGGAAGGACAGAGAGGGAGAGCAAGGAAAGAAATATCTTGATAGAGGGAGCCATTATGGGATTAGGGGGAAACCTGGTACTAGGAAAATCCCCAGGAATATACAAGGATGATCCCAGCTAAAACTCTAAGTGATAATGGAGAGGATGGCTGAACTGGCCTTTCCCTGTAATCAGATTGGTGACTACCTTACTTGTCATCACAGAACCTTCTTCCAGTAACTGATGGAAGCAGATGCAGAGATCCACAGCCAAGCACTGGGCGAGCTCCCAGAGTCTTGTCGGAGAGAGGGAGGAGTCATAATATGAGCAAGGGGGTCAAGACAATGAAGGGAAAATCTACAGAAACAGCTGACAGGAGCTAGTGGGAGCTCACTGACTTCAGACTGACAGCTGGGGAACCTGCATAGGACCAAACTAGGCCCCCTGAATGCAGGTGACATTAGATGGCTTAGGCAGTTTGTGGGACCACTAGCAGTGGGACCAAGATTTATCCCTACTGCATGAACTGGCTTTTTGAAGCCCATTTCCTATGGAGAGATACAGGGAGGAGGGCCTTGGTCCTCACTGTGGTGATGGAACAGACTTTATTGACTCCCTATGGGAGGCTTTACCCTCTCTGAGAAGTAGATGGGGGGTAGGGTAGGGTGAAGATGGAGGAGGAAAGGGGGAACTGGGATTGGTATGTAAAATTTTTAAAAAAAGACATCTAAAAAACAAAAAGAACTGCCTTTTTGTCAAATCTAAAATTATGTCATCTATGCCCATAAACAGCACTTGAGCTCACAGCCTCATGTGTATTGTATGTATTGTGTGTGAAAAACATCCAGGCCAGTGTTGTAGTGAGTCTAGAGATTGAGTGCTTGGTGATGAGAACTGGGGTAGAATTTTCACAAGAGAAGTACACTCATTGAGTGTCAATACATGCAGCTGGAATGGAGGGGGCTCACCTGGCTGTAGGGTTCCTGCTGAGGCCATGGTGCTGTCCCTTCCACTCATCTGACCTGATTGGTCCAGACAAGCAAATGGAGGCCCCACAGCAACATCCAGGCAGCAGCTGTGCTCAGAGCAGGTGGCAGCCTCCTGATTCCATGGGTGCCCCTATTTAGGTTTAAAGAGGATGTTAGCCAGCAGATGGCAATGGGCAGGTTTTCAGGGCCTAACCAAGCAGGCTGTGGTTCAGGGCAGGGTTCCAGCTCCCTTAGGGAACTATAGAGCAAATGAGGACCAAATGCAGTTGCCATTGTCAGAGAATGGACACATGGCTGCAGTCAGGGGTGATGTGCAGCCCACAGGCACAAATGTGACCAGTTCTCATCCAGAGCACCTTGGCCAAGTCAAATACAACAGAGACTCAAGTCCCCACTGCTACTAAGGATGGCTGAAGTATAATATACAGTGAGCCCTGGCTCCCACTGACTCAAGGGCAAGCAGGCTTTCTTGAGCCTTACTTCCTATAGACTTGCAGCAGAGTAGGCATGGAGGAACCAGATGCTGACTAGTTCTTACAGCATGTCACTGACTGCATCTTCTTCTAGAATCACAGTCTTATTTGTAAAGATCTTATTGTGTACCCAGGATGCAGGTGCAAGGAGCATTCACACTGTATCAGGTGAATATTGCAGACAGTGCCCAGATACTGGAAAAATAGGGGATATGCTCATTAGTTCTGGAGCAGTTCTTGGAGGGCTAGAAGAACCATTAGTCAGACCTGGGAGAACATGTGGTCAGAGGGAAGTGCCATCTCTTCTCTTTGGATGAGCTGTGATGTCAGCCTTTCTCTGTTGTTATGAGAGCACTATGGTCCCTTTTCTCTGCCATCATAAGATGACTGACCCTGCTTGAGTTGTAGCAGCATTATTGGCAAGGAGAGAGTAGGAGAGGTGCATTGGTGGAGGAAACAGCAGCCCTTCCTCTTCCCACTTTCAGTGACTTAGTGATTGATCCAAGCCTTGCTTTTTGCTCACTAGACTTAAGCAAGAAGAATAGCTTGTTTGCAAGGAGCCATATGGAGGCCAGCCTCTTTTTTGATGGACTAGATTGTAAGGGTCAGTGCTAGACACGTTAACTCTTCACTTCAGTCTTCCTTACCTTTCCATATCCTGCCCCTTCCCTCCAGGTTCCAGTGTGTGGCTTCCAAGGACCATTTCTAGCATTCAGGAGCCCATTCCACTACACACCAGACTCTGAGTCCAGCTATAGACTTCTGTAGGAGAGGAGAAAGGCATACAACCTTCTCTTGAGTGATACATGTGAGTGTCGGGCATGTGTGCAGAGACAGACAGGGGAAAATCTTGGAATAAGGGCTTAAGAAGAGCCTGTTTTCCAGTCCAGAGAGCCACCACCATAGTATCAGCAGAGAATGTGTTAAGGTAAAGTGGGCTTCACAACATAGATCCTGAATTCTCCTAGTATACA